CACTTTAAGGCACTCGATGGTGAGGGGTTCCCATCTTGCTCGTTCTAAAAGGGGAGTATAAGGGTTACACGAATATATGACGTAGCAAGTGGGGCTTTAATTACGAGGGACATTTCCTGTATATAAACGGGGATGACAGGTATGATTGTCTAGGGGACTGATTAGGTATCGAGGTAGTTTGGTTGGGTCTGAGCTGGTGACTCTTAGTGGGGTTTTAGGCCCTTGGTTCACCTTCCGTGATAGGAAGAATGACCGTCTCGAGTGGGTGGCTTTGGAGGTCCTCGTACTCTGATTCGTTGACTTGGGGGCGCCGACTTAAATTTCCACGCTCGACGGCGCTGTCGCCCCGGTTTGGTCGTCTGCGGATCTGTCTCGTCATTGCCTCCGTGCACCTGTTAAAGTTATCGCGGAGTCGTCTAACCCGTCTATTTAGGACGAAGGCCGTGGCTACGGCCAGGCCGTACCCGAGTCCTACCGCGATGGCCATGACTGTATCGGGGGCGGCCCAGGAGTAGGCTACTGGTTGGTGGTGGATGGTCGGTCGCTTGGCAATCTCTTGAAGGAGGTTGTCTACGACCGTAACGTCAACGGTTTGTGCCCCCTCGTAGGTGGCTTGGACGAGGGTGGAGGGTTGAAGTTCCAAGGCCCTTTCCTCAAAGAACTCTGGTACCTCGACCTCTGCTTCGTACTGGTTCGGATACAGGTGGTATAGTGCCAGGTCGCCTACGTGTAGGATAGCGTCGGCTGGGACGTCGACCCAAAAGGTTTCGTCCGGGAAGCTTACTCGGGACGAGGTGTCGTGTTTGTCATAGGTCAGGGTCGCCGTTCTAAGGGGAGTGTTCACTAGCCATCGTGCCCCTACAATCTCTGCTCTAGTTTCGGTTATTTGTTTCCGAGAGGTGACCGTCGCGGGGCATCGACTCCCTGGAGTCATGGGCCTCAGGCCGCAGATGCCATCTGTGCTGTCCCTGACGAAAGGTTTGCTGGGGCAGAGGTAATGGATGTCCTTGGTGAGGGTACACATCCTTAGATTTGGCGTTAGGTACAAATTGGGGTTACTGTCGTGGTAGGCTACTATGTCTGGGGTCTGGACTCTGACGTGGGCATTGTCCCTCCAGGTCCCTAGGTTAGTGATCCCTTTTAGCCGGTAGATTTTATCGCCGGGAACTATCGGTAGGGTGACTAGGAAGGCTACCTCGCGGTCCAGAGGATTAACATAGATGGGGACTGCAGCGCCCAGCGTGTACGCTAAGTGGGCTTGCATGGGGGTTACGGCGTCCCGTGTGGCTACGGCTAGGATGTCCTTGACTAACGATAGCGGCACGAGGTATGGCGGGATACGGCCCATGGCTAGGTTTTCGATCGAGGAACTGAGAGGACGTAGCATGTCCTCCATCAGTTGGGTGGTCAGCTGAGTATGGGTGTAGTCTAGTTGGAGAACGTCTAAGAGTTGGTTGACCGCAGCGGAGGTGCGTTTAATCGCAACCTCGTGCGTGTTAAGTACTAGCATGGTTCCTTTCAGGGACTTTCCCAAGGTCACCACGTCGTTCTGTTGTTGGTCAAGTCTGGTTTTGACATCATCGAGTTCAGAGGCCATTTCTTGTTGGTGGCGTCTGAGGGAGGATAGGCTAATGGCGTTTACCGTGGACATCCCTAGGCTAAAGAGGGTGCCCAAGGCGGACGCCGCGCCGAGGAGAGCCCCAATAAATCGTTTGGGTCTGGGGCGAGGGTCACTGAGCTCTGTCCTAGTGATCGTGAACTTCTCTAGTTGCGTCAGCATGTGTTGTATGTCTGCCTCAGCGTGCTCCACGACCGTCTGGGTCCAGCGTGCACCTGCCCAATCTTTGAGTGTGACCTTCAAGGGCAGGTTCTTGCGGCAGACTTCACTAGGATTGAGTCTGACAAAGATTCGCTGTGTGTGGAGTCGGACGTCCGTGATGAGGAGCCCGGGTTGTTCCTTTAAAACGATCCCGGAGGCTGGTCCGGTCTCGATAATTTCTGGGGTGCCGAGGCACAGTATGCAGGTCAGCATGAGAAGGAAAGTGGGCCACATGTTCTGCAAGGCGTGAAACAATTGTCAGGGGTTAGACAGAGAGGGAGGAAGAGAGACTCGATTAGTGCAGCCGAGAAGAGTGTTAGTGGGTGCTGGGCTAATCGTGTTTCAGGTCACGTGGTGTGTTCCTAACTGGGGTTTGTAGTGTGCCCTGCTTGTCCCATGGGACTTTGTTTGTGTGGTTTGGTTTGGCTGTAACGGGCCCATCTGAGGGTGGGCTCTCTACCTTTTGTGACCTCGATCTGGTGCACTGCGGTTGAGAGTTTGTTTCCCACTCTGTATGGTCCTGACCAGCGGGGTAGCGATTTCCGACGTAGTCTGGTGGGGCCGGTTCCCACGTGTCCTGGGGAATGTGCCGAGGTGTAATACCATACCTGGTTTTTGACCTGGAGGTGGTCCTGCGGGTCGGTCCTGTATTGGTTTGTCCTCAGGAGCCGGGGGAGTTTCACGTTCTCGTCCCTCCGGTTTGGGGATACGTACCTTAGTATTTCGGTCACCGTCCGGTCCGTCCTTTCTACCTGTTGTAGTGCCTGACGTGTGTTGTTTATACCTGTTTGTTCCGCGGTAGGTGCGTCATGGGCGTGTGCCAACATTACCCCCCTCATGCTTCGAGGCACCACGAGCACCGACGAAGTGAGTGTATCGGAAGCAGAACCTAACAGCCCATGGCGTATCGGCAGTATGTCTTTATCACGGCCGGAGATTCCAAGCGTCGTGGCGACCATGCCGTCGGAGGGGCGTTCCAGTGTGGGGTCCGTCTGTCGGGGGGAGGCAAAGTCCGACCTGTCGAGGTCGGGGGCCGTGCGCGTGGCGTTCGCGCAGGTTGTGGGCGTCCCCTGACCGGTTTCGGTTTGTGCAGTGGCAGGCTGTGGGCCGTTCGCGGGCGGCGCGTCTACGGAGTAGCAGTGGTTTTCGCCCAACGGGCGCGGAATGGGCAAGGGCTCCCGGACCTGTGTCCAGATCTTCAGACGTTGGTAGTCTATTAGGGGCTTAAACCGATTTAGAAGGTCCTGGCCCAATAGGAGCGGATGCGTGTTGAATGGGGAGATGTAGACCGGGTGGACCAGTGTCATGGGGCCCACGGTCAGTCGCATTAGAGCCATTTTGCGTATGGTCGTATCTACCTGGGAATAGGGTTGTATTTCTAAGTCGCACGGCTGCGTTTTTAGGTCTTTGTGGGATTTACTGGCCATAGACTGTAACTTACCGAAGAGGTCTTCGCCAATCAGGCTGATATCGGCAGCTGTGTCCACGAGCGCATCGTGTTCCCATTGGTCTTCGAGTGTTACCGGCAGGTAGAGTTTCCCGTAGGTACCTCTTTGTTGTAGGTCGCCAATGAATTGGCGGAACGGTGGTTCGCAGTTGGTTGTCGAGGGGCCGTCCTCTCGTGGGCCTGTGATGGAGTTTACCTGTATTACCATGACATCCCTCTGGTCGTAGCAGATGTCCACCGTTTGTGCGTTTGAGTAGTCATTTAGCTCCTGTTCGCTGAGGTCGTCGTCCATGTGGTAGGGAGCGTTCTCGGCGTCATCCGACACGGACACTGCGAACACGTCGGCGTTGTCTGTCTTCTTCTCTTTGGCTTTGCGCAGGAGCGTGCGGAGGAGGGATTGTTCCTCCCTAGAAAGGTTGCTCTTATTAATGGTTGTAGCAGTGCGGTCTTGGTGGGACCGTTGTGGCGCGCGGTCTTTCCCGTCGGCCTGGCCGGCGCGTCTCTCGCCATATTGCGGGAGTTGCTGGTCGCGTGGCTGTCCGTTCTTCGGGTCCGCGTGTTTCTGGTTATTCCTTTGGGGTCCGTGGTCGGTTCCCCATTTGTGTTTCCGGGCCGTTGGTGCGCCCTCAAGTTCCATGTGGTTTTCCACACTGTACACTGTAGGTTGGGTTTGCGGCTTCGCCTGAGTCTTGAGCAGATGTTTGCCTTGTGCCCGTGCCACTAGGGTCTTCAGTTGCCGTATGTCCTGTGTAAGGGGGCAGGCGTACACGCCCAGTAGTTGGCTGAGGTTGGGGTGGAGGTTTTGGAGGTACAGGGCCCTGAAATTCGTGTCTTCCTCCATCCCTTCGTAGTTTCGGTTGCCGAAGAAGGCCTGTCGCAACCTGTGGTAGTAGCACTCCGCAAGCTCATTGTGAGCTTGTTTGACTGCCATGGCTGCCGTAAGAGTCCCGGAGGCGCCGTAGTCTGAGTATTCTGCTAGGATGGCTTTGCAGAGCTCGTTGTAGTCATGTTTTATAGCCCTTGGTTGCCTTTCGATGAAGTCATTCACCTCTCCATTGGACGTGAGTCTAATCAAGAATATTTTGTCATCTTCAGACGCGTGTGGTATGCGGTCGGTGTGGAAGTCGACGACGCGGAGGTATGACCGGGTGTTTGTAGGCATGCCGGGCCGGGGGTCAAAGCGGGTTATGTGTCTAGCTATGCGGTCGAAGTCGCGGTCGGATGGTCCGAGCGGGTCTTGACCTATCGGGGGCGCGTAACGGGCGTCGCGTCCTCTATAGTCCGGGTGGTACCGTTAACCTGGGGTTAAGTCCTGGCGTGCGTCCGGGGGGTGCCGTGGGGTTGTCCTCCATGATTGGGGAGGTCCCCGGCGTTCCCATGGCGGGTCACTGGCCATTGTGCCGCAGCATATGCGGGCGGCCCAGGCTCAGGGTACCGTATGTCGTGTGGTCCATGTAGCATGTACTGATGTGGGCCAGGGGGGTCGTTGTAGGGTTGTCCGCCATGTTCAGGGCGGGCCCTTTCGTCCCAATGGCGGTAGTCTGAAACATGTCTCGTATGGACGTCAGTTGGGTCAGAGTTCTGGGTCGGGTAGTCATGTTGGCTGCGTCGCATGTCCATGTGTGTTCCCGGAGGGGCGACGTGGGAGTCCCGTCCCTGGTTGAGGTGGTCTCCACCGTCCCAATGGCGGGCTGTTGGCCGTTGTTCGCCGCGGTCCATGGTCAGTCCGTGTGTATGGGTCTGGTGGCCGTGCGTTTCGTGTTTAACGTGCCGGTGCGATGCGGCGGGTCCGGCGGGTCCGGCCGGGGGTTGTCTCTCATAGACGGAGAGGTCCCCGGGGGCCTCTCCGTAGCGGCCCTGATTCTCGCTGCGCGATCTAGATCCATGGTCGCGCTTGGAATCGTGTTCAGTCCCAGTTGGTGGTTTCTACTTACCTGTTGGACTGGTTCCAAGCGGCTCGCGGCGGGCACCCTAGCTTCCGCTAGTTGTCGTTCCAGGTCACCTACCGTGTCTTGAAGCCTCTGGTTCTGGGCTTCGCAGTCGCGTAAGGTTATCCTGGAGACCGCGGCTAGTTGTCCCAGCCACTGGGTCAGGGTCTTACCTTCCAGTTTCTTCTTAATAGCCTCGGATGCCAATGTGGAAGTGGCCTCCAGTAAGTCGGAGGGTGAGCCGTGCTCAAGCATGTCGTAGGACCCTGGGGATAACTTCTCTGTGAAGTCGCGCAGAAGGTTATCCACTATGTCGTGTTCCTCCACGACACTGTCGTGTTCGCTCGGTCGTGGCGAGTTTCCGCCATCGGTTTCCATATTTGTGTGGGTGAGTGTATGCGAGTATGATTTGGAACGTGTGTGCATGACACAGTGGGAGGATGAAAGGAGGAAAGCAGTACTATAGAGCGGGTGGTACAGCTGTTATTTGTGTGGAGGTGCAAACCTTGGTGTGTGTCAAAGCCGTGACTACAGCGTCCTCTCCGTGTGGCGGTGTATGCGAGTAGGCGGCCTAGGACAGGGGTCGGGCGTTAGTATTTCTTCACCTGTGTATCAGCGAAGAGCGTTGGGGTTAGTGGCGTTGGCGCACGTAGGGGTAGTAGTGGCACCAGCGGTAGCAGCAGTATTAGGGCGCGGCGTTAATGCGCAGCGGTGGGGCGCGGCGTAAGGACGCGCCGTTATCGACGCAACTGCGGCGTTTGAGACGCACCTGCGGCGTTAGACGCAGCGTGGGGCGCGGCGTAGCTTGAGGCGCAGCGTTGGTTTGAGACGCAGCGTCGGTTTGAGATGCGGCGTGGGGCGCGGCGTAGCTTGAGGCGCAGCGTTGGTTTGAGACACAGCGTGGGGCGCGGCGTAGCTTGGGACGCAACGGCGGTGAGGCGCAACTGCGGCGTTAGGGACGCAGCGGCGTCTTGAGACGCAGCGGCGTCTTGAGACGCAGCGTGGGGCGCGGCGTAGCTTGGGACGCAGCGGCGGTGAGGCGCAACTGCGGCGGTGAGGCGCAACTGCGGCGTTAGGGACGCAGCGGCGTCTTGAGACGCAGCGTGGGGGGACGCGGCGTAGTAGACGCAGCGTAGGGGACGCAGCGTGAGGGCGCGGCGTAGGGGACGCAGCGTGAGGGCGCGGCGTAGTAGACGCAGCGTAGGAAACGCAGCGTGAGGGCGCGGCGTAGTAGACGCAGCGTAGTAGACGCAGCGTAGGAGACGCAGCGTGAGGCGCAACTGCGGCGTTAGGGACGCAGCGGCGTCTTGAGACGCAGCGTGGGGGGACGCGGCGTAGTAGACGCAGCGTAGGGGACGCAGCGTGAGGGCGCGGCGTAGTAGACGCAACGTAGGAGACGCAGCGTGAGGGTGCGGCGTAGTAGACGCAGCGTAGGAGACGCAGCGTGAGGGCGCGGCGTAGGAGACGCAGCGTGAGGGCGCGGCGTAGTAGACGCAGCGTGGGGGACGCAGCGTGGGGGACGCAGCGTGGGGGACGCAGCGTGGGGGACGCAGCGTGGGGGACGCAGCGTGAGGGCGCGGCGTAGTAGAGGCACAGCTCAAGTAAGCAGTAGCAAAAGGCAGCAGGCTGAGCGGTAAGGCAATGCAGTTTTAGTGACAGCACGTGGCGTGGGGGTTAGAAATAGAGTATTAGTTTTGACCAGGAGGTGGGAGTGCAGTATTTGTCAAATCACACACCGATGTGGTTCAACCATAATGTGTATTAGGCAGGAGCAGAAGTGCGGAATGGGATTAGTCACCACAGTAATGTGTTATTCATAACGTGCAGTAACAGAGGCAGAATCAAATTATTAGTTTCACCAACGCAGCAATGTGGTACGCCAATTACATGCAGCAGGAGGGGCGGAATTAGCGTATTAGTTTACTACAATCAAACATCGAGTTTGGCAGAGTAGAGTGGTCATTAGTTGGAGCAAACAAACAACATGGAATGATAGCCAAACAGTGTTAATGTTACAACCATGGGCAGCAGTGCGATCTAGCCGTGACATGCAGTAGGAGGGGCAGAATTAGCGTATTAGTTTACTACAATCAAACATCGAGTTTGGCAGAGTAGAGTGGTTATTAGGTAGCAAACAAAAACAGCATGGAATGATAGCCAAACAGTGTTAATGTTACAACCATGGGCAGCAGTGCGGTCTAGCCGTGACATGCAGTAGGAGGGGCAGAATTAGCGTATTAGTTTAGTACAAGGAGGCGGGAGTGCAGTATCTGTTAAATCACACACCGATGTGGTTCAACCATAACGTGCATTATGCCGGAGCAGAAGTACAGAATAGGACTAGTTACCACAGTAGTGTGTTAGTCATAACGTGTAGTAGACAGAATCAAATTATTAGTTTCAGTTTAGTACAATCAAACATCAAGTTTGGCAAAGTAGAGTGGTTATTAGTTGGAACAGAAACAGCACGGGATAACAGCCAAACAGTGTTAATGTTACAACCACGGCCAACACTTGATCATAAGACGTGGTGCAGGATAAAATGTCAAGACAGCAGCAACGTGGTCCCGGAAGTGGTGCACCGGGACCGGAAAGCAGTCCTGTGTTAGACAATAAAAGAGGTGCGGCTCGTTTAGCAGTATGCCGAGACGGCTAGCACCCTTTGATCGTCGAAACACGGAATCAGAGTGAGACAGAATAGCTCGAAAGAACAGAAAGTAGTGTTATTGTTAGGCAACGGGTAAGCAATGCAGCAGGCAGAATAGTATAGCAGAGCAGACGCGGCGGCGGCGCAGGCTTTTCGCGCACCGGGGCCGGAAGTTAGCCGTATGCTAAAAACAGAGGGTTGTAGCTAGCTTGTAGCTTGCCGAAAGCAGCAGGTTTAGCGGTAGTTTAGGCAGTAAACATTGAGGTTTGGCAACCGAATATAGTTTGGTTAAACAGAGTGGCACTAGTTTTAACAGTAGAAAAGCAGCTTATAGTGGGAGAGAGGTATTAGGAGCAGGGGTTTGTTCGAGCGTAGCCTCGAACCTAGCGCCCAAGGGCGGAAGTTAGCCTTATGCTAGAACAAATGGATGTAGCTAGCCGTTAGCTTTCGTGCGCGGAGGACTAGCAGCCGATTCGACAAGAAAAAGTCTCGCAGCGAGTTATACGGTTCGCACAAGCACGTATTTGCAGTGGTGGGATGGAGTTGTCTGTAATGTACTGTAGAGTCCTGGTGTGTGTGTACAACAGCAGGTTAGCAGGAGGTAGGGTTGCCAACCGTCCCTTGAAATACGGAATTGTCCCGTATTATAGAAAAACTATGTGCGTCCCGTATTGAACTGATACGGGACGGCTTTTGTCCCGTATTTTCAGAGCCACCTCAAATGCATCACTCACTCACTGCATGTCACACACACACAGTAATGATCACAGTTGAAGCATCTACCTTTCGGCCAATCAGTGTCAAAGGGGCGTAGGCTTGATCTCAGACGTTGGTTTAATGTTGACAGGCGCCAGCGTGGGCCGTGCCCGCAGCACCATCACGGCAGAAGTTTGGTAAAGTAGCGTAATTTTCCCAGATTCGGACTTCCGCGGTCAATAGCTCACGAAAGCTACTTCGTTAAACAAAAGTAATTGTGCTAAAATGATCATCTCTACGTTGATTTTACAAATTCAATGCGCTGTTTTAATGCAGAGAAATCCTCTGAATCCAATGCACTGCAAGTGTCGAGAAAAGCACTTAGGGACCGTCAACAAATATCCAGACCAGCTGTAAACGAACAATAGCTTTTACTGAAGCCACAAACCTGCAGTACCTGCACAAAACTCAGACAATATAAATAATGATGACCATGTCGAACTGCTACAGACTTTGATTTGTGAGTTTTTTTAATTAATACATATGTTTTTCTTTTTATTTGCTTTTACAGAAATTGGTCTTTACTGTAACATTCATAAATAATGTATGTTACAGTATTTTTCTTTTTTATATTTTTTTATTACTAATAAGAATGAATTAAGTCCTTAACCAGCCAAAAAGTTCCACCTATTTATTCAATTTCATTTTTGACTAAGGATTTGTTTTTTTTATATGTAGTCAATAAATTACAATCTAAAAACTGTGATTATGAAATTCCATGATTACTAAAAAGTGCTCAACCCGATCCACCCAAATGGTGTCCCTTATTTTTTTTTTCTCAAGTTGGCAACCCTAGCAGGAGGAGACAGTGGTGAGACAGGGTTAGCGGTAGCCACCTTAGCAGAACAATAGCATCACATTCAAACCGCTGCCATTCACAGCCTTTATACACATATATATACTGTTTATAATCCTTCGTGACGCGGGTCACAAAGGGACACAGAGTAGGTTTGTACGCCCGTGTTCTGGGCACGGCGTACGGTTTCTTTAGGATAAGTTTTGCACTTTCTCTTAAGAGGGAAGCGGCTTCACAATGTCACGCCGCCTACCAGGCCTGGGTAGGGCGATACGTTGCAGACAATGCGTAGTACCCAATACAAACGTCGGGATTTAAGACTAAATTAATAGTCTGGTGCATGCACGAGCGCTTTATCGCAAGCGGGGCGTAGGGGAGCTCGATTGGCGTCGAAGTCACTATGGCAACGGGCAGCAGGGAGAGGCGTGGGGTGGGGAGGTGGGGGGAGAGCGCTTGGAGCGTGAGCAGTGCTTAAGTTAGCGTATTACAGGTCAAATCACAGAGTACGAGTTGATAAATCTGGTTATATGCGCGGATCTCACAAACGGCACCATATATGTAGGGTAATAATATTACTGATTATGTTATAAATTGTAAGAGAAGAATAGTGCGGCTAGTCTCCAAATCAGAGTCTGGCCGTCCTATTCGAGTGGGGATCTGCTTTTAATTTTTGGGCACCAGCAGAGTTACTTCTGCACAGATCCAACTAACTTTGCCTCGAGTCAGTCTTATAATCTAATAGGTAGTGAATGCGTAAATCAGCCAGAGATATCCAAGATTTAACAACACGACGCTTAAATGATTGAGTTAAAGTTAACGTGAATTTATTGACTACAAAAATTAAAGATGGAAAATATAACGAAGGGGATTTCTGGTCACATTAAACAGAAGTTGTATACATCTCATTTGAAACACACATCCAACAAAGGAACAGTCTTACTTTGAGCCGTTCAAGGGAGATGTTGATGAAAAGAGGAGGATGGAGAATGGAGATGGGAGGATGAGAATGAAGAATAGGATGGAGGCGATGTCCTCGTCCACGTGGTCTTTGTTCGAACAGGGAGCAGGAGGAAGCCGGCAGATCGGATCCAGGCGTGGGTTCCACACACAACACGGTCTAGAATAGCGTTGCGGTGGGGTGTTCCAGGGAGCCCGAAAGTGGCTGGCGATGGAAGGTCCTCGTCTCCGACAGCGAGAGTGGTTGCTGTCCCCGTGGATGTACAGGCCCGAGATGGTGGCGGGCGTAGGTCGTGTAGGAGACACGTACCAAAAGGGATTGCGAGTTGCGATAGTGATTTCGGGAAAACCAAGAGGCAGTCTGTGGGTCCGCGCTTTGGTTTTGTTGTGGTCAAAGGGGGCGCGTCCGTGACGTCATCTTTGGGCGCCCCTTTGAGCCGGCATGTTCACACAAGCGAAACACAACACATATAGACATTCTATCGTTCATAATCATATACCGATACACAGTGCATTCACATCACAGACAACGCCACATACGAGTAGTGTCCGTAACGGTTATCAACATAATGTCATCGGGGAATGTCCGTTTCGAGTGTCCGCCTCGGGTGTGATAGTGTCCGGTATCCGCTGGGGGGGCGCCATAACGCCGTGGGTGAGTCGTTGATTGTCCAGGGACAGGAAGGTCCCGGGAGTGAGAGCAGAGTTGTGATCTTTGATCTCTACAGGCAGGCAGAGACAGAGATGTTTATTCCCGTGGTGACTTTATTGCTCTGTTTGACGCCTGTAATCCCCATGATCAATGGCAGTCGACCTCGCTGTTCCTTTGAAGCAGCAGTGGGATGTCTCCCTCCTTTTGGTCGAATGTTTACACAGTCCAGGGCCTGGCTCTGTTGTCCGGCCCTGTCCCTTATTTAACCTTACAGCTGTATTAGTTCTTTGAACTTTGAGATAGATTTATCATTTAAGGTTCTTTTCATTATGGTTTTATCTTGCGGCGCAGGAAAGTCCTCCAAATCGAGATCAAACGTGATCAAGAAATGGTCAGACAGCAACGAGCTTTGACGCTGGACGTCAACATTGGAGACATCACAGCCGTAGGTCAGGACAAGGTCCAAGGTGTGGTTATGAATGTGAGTAGGTTTCTCAACATTCTGAGTAAAACCAACACCATCTAGTACGGCGCTGAAAGCTTTGTTTAAGTCTCCAGTTATAACTATGTTTTCCCATTCCAAAACTAGGTTTGAAATGAAGTCAGAGAATTCTGTTAGGAACTCGCTGTAAGGACCAGGAGGTCGGTATAAAACTATAAATAACACCGCTTTTTGTTTTCTCCACCCAGGACAGGTGATTGAAAGTGTTACGTTTTCAAACGAGTGAAAAGCATTGTTGGTTTTGGGACTAGTAAGTTGGTATGTGATATAATCGCAAAGCCACCGCCGCGACCTGTAGTTCTCGCTTTCTGGTAGTTAACATGCGTCCGAGGAGTGCACTCATTCAATCTAACGTAGTCGTCTTGTTGGAGCCAAGTCTCCGAGAGCGCAAACCAATCCAAGTTTTTGTCTATAATAAGTTCGTTTATGAGAAGCGATTTAGACGAGATTGATCTGACGTTCATTAATCCACATCTAACAACCCTACTTTTAGAACTATTTCTGTCTGTCTGAACTTTTATTAAGTTACTGTGTCTGACACTAGGTTCTGAGGCTAGTAACTGAGCACACACAGGCGCACACACACAGTTTCAATCTGACTAGCTTCTGAGGCTAGTAGCTGAACAGATGGGGGCTCAGAGGTTGTGGCAGAGCAGCTCTGCACCCGGGCCTCAGTTCTGCACCGTCATTTGAGCTGGGCAGAACAATTCAGAGCCAGGGCCAAATTCTTAGCCAAAAGGGATGTACCCGCCATTGGCTAATATCGTCCGAGCATATGAGACCGGGCTTTCCCCAAAAGGCACTCCAATTGTCAGCATGAACAACACCACTTCGAGGGCACCAGCCAGACAGCCAGCCAGACAGCCAGCGGTTGAAAGCCGAGTGTCTGCTGAATGCTTCTGCACTGCTAGTGCTAGGTAGGGGCCCAGAGAAGATGACAGTGTCGGCCATTGTGCTAGCCAGCTTGCACACCGCGGCGACTTGCAGCTTCAACACCTCGGACTGTTTCCGCCGAACGTCATTACCACCCGCGTGAATAACAAAACAGACACCTCTAGTGTCCTGGAGGTGTGTGACGTGTCACTAGTCTGCCCTTTAGGGTCCTCTGCCCTCTAGTGTCCTGGAGGTGTGTGACGCGTCTCCAGTCTGCCCTCTAGTGTCCTGGAGGTGTGTGACGCTCCTCCAGTCTGCCCTCTAGTGTCCTGGAGGTGTGTGACGCACCTTCAGTCTGCCCTCTAGTGTCCTGGAGGTGTGTGACGTGTCTCCAGTCTGCCCCCTAGTATCCTGGAGGTGTGTGACACTCCTCCAGTCTGCCCTCTAGTGTCCTGGAGGTGTGTGACGCTCCTCCAGTCTACCCTCTAGTGTCCTGGAGGTGTGTGACGCGCCTCCAGTCTGCCCTCTAGTATCCTGGAGGTGTGTGACGTGCCTTCAGTCTGCCCTCTAGTGTCCTGGAGGTGTGTGTCCAACGACGAGCGTCAGACGCGATTTGGATGCCCAAAACGCGTTTGGTCTGAACGCAGCATAACACACAGACACAGACCAGAGATGTGACACACACAGACACACACCAGAGGTAACACACACTACCGTACTCTATGTATTTCTGCTTATATCAAACACCATAGTTCCCTGAGACACACCCATGGACTGTGTGTGTCTTCAGGAAGTTGTGTGTCTTTGTGTGTCTTCAGGAGGTTGTGTGTCTGTGTGTGTCTTCAGGAAGTTGTGTGTCTTTGTGTGTGTCTTCAGGGGGTTATGTGTATTTGTGTGTCTTCAGGAGGTTGTGTGTCTTTGTGTGTCTTCAGGAGGTTGTGTGTCTTTGTGTGTGTTCAGGGGGTTTTGTGTCTGTGTGTGTGTTCAGGAGGTTGTGTGTGTTCAGGAGGTTGTGTGTCTTTGTGTGTGTTCAGGAGGTTGTGTGTCTGTGTGTGTGTTTAGGAGGTTTTGTGTCTTTGTGTGTGCGTTCAGGAGGTTGTGTGTCTTCTCACTTCCTCCTCCGTCGAGCAAAGACGTGTTTTAGTCCGCTCCTGCTTCTGAACGGCTTGCTATCTCCTGTTTTTGTCTTTTTTCCTGGAGTTTTGCCACAGACAACTTTAACAGAATGGAAATGATTAATTGGTCCCTCAACGCAATTGATTCTATCTTTTCAACACGTAAGCGTGGGTCTGGAGAGCCCGTGTGCCCGGACGGGACTTCACCGGCGGGGTATACTCTTGACAGCTGGAACAAGTTTCAGCCCCTCTGTCTGTCGACCCTGTCCATTGAAGATTCGGAAGACGTATATATCTTTGGCATTTTGGTGGTGGGAATCCTCCTGTTTGGGTTTGGAGCGATCCTGTTCTACCACAAATTCGGTGGCATGGCAGTTCGCAAGATTCACGACCTGCTGGCCGACAAAATTGATGGGATGTACAAGGAGCTAAGCCGTGTCGTGGTTGAGAGTGCCGTGTCTGGACAAAGGAGAGTGGTTTTAGTGGAACAGTTGATCAAAGATCTCGCAGCTCGTTCACTCGATGGGCATAAAACTCTGGAATTGAGATTGAATGACATTGTTTGTCAGGCTTGAACTCTCTGACCCGGCTTGGATTTGCCCCTGTGTACGGAGGTCTGAGGGCGCCGTAATTCGGTTTAATTGGAATTAATAGAATATCTGCCTACTTTTGATGCTACATTGCATATAATATTGTCCCTCTCAGGCGATGTGTTTTTCTCCTGCTGTGTATTCTCTCCACTCTTATCTCACATTCCTCGACCAAGGCCATAAACAAGGTCCCAAAATGATTCTGATTCTGATTCTGATTCAGGAGGTTGTATGTCTGTGTGTGTGTTCAGGAGGTTGTATGTCTGTGTGTGTGTTCAGGAGGTTGTATGTCTGTGTGTGTGTTCAGGAGGTTGTGTGTCTGTGTGTGTCTTCAGGAGGTTGTGTGTCTTTTTGTGTGTGTTCAGAAGGTTGTGTGTCTGTGTGTGTCTTCAGGAGGTTGTTTGTCTTTTTGTGTGTGTTCAGGAGGTTGTGTGTCTGTGTGTGTGTTCAGGAGGTTGTGTGTCTGTGTGTGTTCAGGAGGTTGTGCGTCTGTGTGTGTGTTCAGGAGGTTGTGTGTCTGTGTGTGTTCAGGAGCTTGTGTGTCTGTGTGTGTCTTCAGGAGGGTGTGTGTCTTCAGGAGTAAGTAAGTAAGCTTTATTTATATACCGCCTTTCACAGACCAGAGTCACAAAGCGGTTAACAATTTTTATTTTTGGGCACCTGTCCTCTCACTCCACACAGAGATGGGAGCGGGGTTGTGAGGTTGTGTGTCTGTGTGTGTGTTCAGGAGGTTGTGTGTCTGTGTGTGTCTTCAGGAGGTTGTGTGTCTGTGTGTGTCTTCAGGAGCCCCAGGCCGCGCCCTCCTGCCCACCCCCGGCTCCACAGCACAGTTTCGGGCCACGTTGTGGACCAGTCTGGAGAAACTCATGGACCAGATCTGTGCGGCCTGTCGACAGGTAAGAGAGAGACCAGCGAGAGAGACCAGAGAGAGAGAGACCAGAGAAAGACCTGAGAGAGACCAGAGAAAGACCTGAGAGAGACCAGAGAGAGAGATAGAGACCAGAGAGAGAGACCAGAGAGAGAGAGAGAGACCGAGACCAGAGAGAGAGAGACCAGAGAGAGAGAGAGAGACCAGAGAGTAGAGAGAGAGAGAAACCAGAGAGAGAGAGAGAGAGAGAAACCAGAGAGAGAGAGAGAGACCAGAGAGAGAGAGAGAGAGACCATAATTCCAGTATTACTGTGTGATGCTCTGTGTTCTGAGCAGGTTCAGCATCTGCAGAAGGTTCTGATCAAGAAGAGAGACCCAGTCAGTCACGTCTGCTTCATCGACGAGATCATCAAGGTACTGCTCCTCTGCTCCTCTAGCCCTCTGCTCCTCTAGCCCTCTGCTCCTCTGCTCCTCTGTCCCTCTTCTCCGCTGTCCCTCTTCTCCTTTGTTCCTCTTCTCCTCTGCTCCTCTGTCCCTCTTCTCCTCTGCCCCTCTTCTCCGCTGTCCCTCATCTCCTCTGCCCCTCTTCTCCTCTGCCCCTCTGCTCCTCCCCTCCTCTACCCCTCTGTCCCTCTTCTCCTCTGCTCCTCTGCCCCTCTGCTCCTCTGCCCCTCTGCTCCTCTGCTCCTCTGCCCCTCTGCCCATATGCTCCTCTAGCCCTCTTCTCTGCTCCTCTGCTCCTCTGTCCCTCTTCTCCACTGCTCCTCTGGCCCTCTGCTCCTCTGGCCCTCTGCTCCTCTGGCCCTCTAGCCCTCTGCTCCTCTGCTCCTCTTCTCCTCTAGCCCTCTGCTCCTCTGCCCCTCTGCTCCTCTGCTCCTCATCTCCTCTTCTCCTCTGCTGGTCTGCTCTTCTGCCCCTCTGCTCCTTTGTGAGGCTTTCAAAGACGTCTCATAGTTTTGCTTTAGCTCTCAGCAGAACAGTGACTGTGAATACATATAATGTATATTATAACATACGTAATAGAAGTGTGTCTGTGTGTGTCTCTGTGTCTGGGTCTGTGTGTGTGTGTGTGTGTGTGTGTGTGTGTGTGTGTGTGTGTGTGTGTGTGTGTGTGTGTGTGTGTGTGTGTGTGTGTGTGTGTGTGTGTGTGTGTGTGTGTGTGTGTGTGTGTGTGTGTGTGTGTGTGTGTGTGTGTGTCTGTGTCTGTGTCTGTGTCTGTGTTGGCAGGACGGCCAGCCTGACATCCTCTGCACCTTCTGGACAGATGTGACGAACACGCTGAGTCAGCAGTTCCACAGAGCCTCAGAGAGTGAGTCTGACTGCTCCCTTCACCAGTTTGAAAACACAACATTTACACAGAAGGGACGGAAATGTGTTCTGAAATGTGTTCCAGAGGGTTCCTGTATTGGCTTGGTACAATGTCAAAAACACAATTACCAGACACCAGAGGGAGAGACCCTAGAGAGAGAGAGACCAGAGAGATACCAAAGAGAGAGAGAGAGAGACCAGAGAGAAAGAGAATCTAAAAATAGACTGGCAAAAAGACTAAATCGCAAGAACCCAGATGCCAAGTCGTTCAAGCTACAGTTCTCTGTGGTTCCTGGTGCTCAGTGTGAATGAGGCTTCAGTTCTGGTTCCTGTTGCTCAGTGTGATTGAGGCTACAGTTCTCTGTGGTTCCTGTTGCTCAGTGTGAATGAGGCTAGAGTTCTGGTTCCTGTTGCTCAGTGTGAATGAGGCTACGGTTCTCTGTGGTACCTGTTGCTCAGTGTGAATGAGGCTACAGCCCTTTATAAAATGACTTTATAAAGGGCGGGAGGACAGGTTAAAAAGTGTTCAAGAGTCCAACAGCAGAGGGGAAGGTCTTGTGGCGGGAGGTTCTAGTCCTGATGGACCGCAGCCTCCTGCCTGAGGGGAGTGGTTGGGAATAGTCCATGTGCAGGGTGAGAGGGGTCGGCAATTATACGACCAGCCCGGCCTCGAGCTCGGGCGACGTATAGGTCCTGCAGCGATGGAAGGCTGCGGCCGATCACTTCCTCTGCAGAGCGCACAATGCGCTGTAGTCTCTGTTTGTCCCTGACTGTGGCTCCAGCGAACCACACGGTGATGGAGGAGGTGAGGATGGACTCGATGATGGCCGTGTAGAACTGCACCAACATCTGTGCAGGCAGCTTGGCTTTCCTGAGATGCCGCAGGAAGTACATCCTCTGCTGGGCCTTCTTGATGAGAGAGAGCAGCAAAGAGCCATGTTGACCGTACGAGGCGCCATCTTTGTTGTTGAGGCTACAGTTCTCTGTGGTTCCTGTTGCTCAGTGTGAATGGGGCTACAGTTCTCTGTGGTTCCTGTTGCTCAGTGTGAATGAGGCTACAGTTCTGGTTCCTGTTGCTCAGTGTGAATGAGGCTACAGTTCTGGTTCCTGTTGCTCAGTGTGAATGAGGGTACAGTTCTGGTTCCAGCCTCGTCGTTCCTGAAGCAGGCGTTTGAAGGAGAGTTCCCGAAGCTACTGAGGCTGTTCAACGACCTGTGGCGGCGCCTGCAGCAGTACAACGGCAGCCTGCAGGGGGCGGCGGCAAGCAGCACAGACCCCGGTCTGGACCTGAGCTCCGATTCCGAGGGCCACGACCTCTTCACCTACGCAAAGCACGACTACAAGTCAGTGTGACTTGGTTTTATGGTTCTATGCAACTGTTTGTGCCCTAACCCTGGGACTTTATAAAAGAAGACATTTTATGGGTTTTGATCCATTAAAAAAGTAGAAAATATAGATATGAAGTGTAAGCTTACCTTATGCTACCACCAGAGGGAGCAGTGGGATCAGTTTAGTTTTTTCCCCAATTTTCTTAAAGGACAGGGGCAATACTTTTGGTCTCTCTCTGGTCTTTCTCTGGTCTTTCTCTGGTCTCTCGCTGGTCTCTCTCTGATCTCTCTCTGGTCTCTCTCTCTAGTCTCTCTGATCTCTCTCTCTGGTCTCTCTCTTCTCTCTCTGATCCCTCTCTCTGGTCTCTCTTTCTAGTCTCTCTCTGACCTCTCTTTCTGGTCTCTCCTCTCTCTGGTCTCTCTCTCTGGTCTCTCTCTGATCTCTCTATGGTCTCTCTCTCTGGTCTCTCTACTTTTATTTTAAAGTCAGTAGACTGCTCTGAGTATGATGTCATAGTGCTACAATGACATCATACTTTTACAAAACTGTGTGTGTGTGTCTCTGTCTCTGTCTCTGTGTGTGTCTGTGTGTGTCTCTGTCTGTGTCTCTGTCTGTGTCTCTGTCTGTGTGTGTCTGTGTCTCTGTCTGTGTGTGTCTGTCTGTGTCTCTGTCTGTGTCTGTGTCTGTGTCTCTGTCTGTGTCTGTGTCTGTGTCTGTGTCTGTGTCTCTGTCTGTGTCTGTGTCTCTGTCTGTGTCTCTGTCTGTGTCTCTGTCTGTGTCTCTGTCTGTGTCTCTGTCTCTGTCTGTGTCTCTGTCTGTGTCTCTGTCTGTATCTGTGTCTGTGTCTGTGTGTGTCTCTGTCTGTGTGTGTCTCTGTGTCTGTGTCTCTGTCTGTGTCTCTGTCTGTGTCTCTGTCTGTGTGTGTCTCTGTCTGTGTGTGTCTCTGTCTGTGTCTGTGTCTCTGTCTGTGTCTGTGTCTGTGTCTGTGTCTCTGTCTCTGTCTCTGTCTCTGTCTGTGTCTGTGTCTGTGTCTCTGTCTCTGTCTCTGTCTCTGTCTCTGTCTCTGTCTGTGTCTGTGTCTGTGTCTCTGTCTGTGTCTCTGTCTGTGTCTCTGTCTGTGTGTCTGTGTGTGTGTGTAGTCCGGAGAGCGCTCTGAAGTCCTGTCTGGAGCCCTACGAGGCGGCCTACCTGTCCAAGTCTCTGTCGCGCCTGTTCGACCCTATCAACCTGGTGTTCCCTGTGGGTGGGCACAGCCCGCCCTCCTCAGAGGAGCTGGACAGCATCGTGCGCACCATCAGCAGGTCAGAGCAAAGGCTGGGCTCCGAACCCATGTCCTCATTACTATCACTCCTTTCATGTTTAACTCTGTATGAGAACCCATGTCTACTCTACACTACTCTACCCTACCCTACTCTACTCTACTCTACCCTACCCTACCCTACCCTACTCTACTCTACTCTGCCCCTCCCTACCCTACACTGCTCTACTCTGCTCTGCTCTACTCTGCTCTACTCTACTCTACTCTACTCTACTCTACTCTACTCTACTCTACTCTACTCTACTCTACTCTACTCTACTCTACCCTACCCTACCCTACCCTACCCTACCCTACCCTACTCATGGCTTCCAACACTGTTAGAACACTTAAGTCCAGCTCGGCCTGGATAGAACCAGGACCAAGATGGACTTAAGAAGGACCTGGTACTGGTTAAATGTGGACAATTTTGGGGTAGGAGCAGGTGTTTTCAAAGTCAGGCCTCTGAGCTTTAATTGTGTAGTTCTTCTGATGATGATGATGTTGTTGCAGTGAGCTGAGCGTGGCGTCCGTAGACCCTCAACTCTCGCTGTCTATGGCCAAGAACGCCGCCAAGACGGTGAAACTGTTCTGTGTCAAGTCTGAGCAACTGGTGAGTCCAGAGAGACCAGAGAGAGAGACCAGAGAGAGAGACCAGAGAGAGAGACCAGAGAGAGAGACCAGAGAGAGAGACCAGAGAGAGAGACCAGAGAGAGAGACCAGAGAGAAGGTGAGCGAGAGAGACCAGAGAGAGAGACACAGCTGAGAGACCAGAGAGAAGGTGAGAGAGACCTCCCAGCCGAGAAGCAGACAGAAGGAGAGAGATTAGATATGCTGTTAAATAGACAAGTTCATATCTCATCAATGTTATTTATCTCTCTCTCTCGCTCTCGCTCTCAGTTGTACACAGGTCCTCACAGCTCGCAGGTGATTGGTTCTCTCACTGAGGGACAGAGGAGGAATGTGGGGGTGGTCAACAGTCTGCACTGGCTTCACCAGGACATGCTCAAGGTGAGGATTAGAGCTGACTCTGAGGATTAGCACTAGCAAACCCATGGAGGTGCCATTTGGCACTTCTACCTAAAAAGCCCACCACGGTGCCAAATGACTCCAAGGATTTTAGCTAACAAACTAAATCACCTGTGAACGGCCAACTTTGTTATGTAAATAAGGCCATTATCACAGGCTGAGCTGAAGTTGCTCAACCACTTTACTTTGTCTTCTTCGGGAGAGGGAGGATCTGAGTTAAAATGAGTTAAATCTAGTGTCATGCTGACTTTAGTTAAAAAATAATAATGAAAATAATAAAGTGAATTGAAAGAAAACAAACGAGCAACGTCATTCAATGTATAAATTTACATTGTTTACAAAATAAATATGCTACTTACAGTTTTTCTCAGTGTCTTTGGTGCATTTATCACATAATTCTTCACATTTGCACGACAGTTAGTGCATTTATCAGAACAATTAGTACAAACTGCAAAACCTTGGGGATAACCTGCAAAAGTGCATCACCTTCTCAAAATGAAAAGTTTATTCCTCAAAAGCAAGTCTTCATGTCGAGGAAACTGTGTCTCAAAATAATAAGTCTTAACAACATGGAGTATGAACAACACAGTCAAATGACTTCGTCACGTTTTCATTGTGACACTTTACTCTCTGTGTTTTCAAAGCAAAAAATCTGATCTTGGTGAGCACTGTACAGCTGAAAACTACAGTAAAGTTACACACAACTGTATTTAGTGAGAGTACACTACATACTGTATGTACTGTATGTGTGTGTGTGTTTTTGCATGTATGTATTTACTGTGTGTGTGTGTTTGTGCATGTATGTATTTACTGTGTGTGTGTGTTTGTGCATGTATGTGTTTCGATGTATGTCTGTGTACTGTATGTCTTTCACATATTTACTGCATATGCTCTTTGCAATTCTACAGCATTGTGCAACAGAAATACAGTCACATACATAGAGCAAACATACAGAATATCATTATGGTAGAACTGTGACGAATGTAAACAATAAAACACACACCTCGTCATGAGTGAAGCTGAAATTCGAAATTAGGAAAGATTTTCTGGATATAAAAAGATAAAGTAATGTATGAAATTAGTTTGACAGATTTTGGTTTTGAACAGTTTTGTATGTGATGACCAAAGCAATGAAATGAGGACTACTGGTTTTACAGAAACTATTCAGTCGTGAAAAGTATGTTTCATTCTGATTGACAGGACAGAAGCAAATGATAATGTTATAAAACAGCAGAGAACTGTATGAAAGTAACTGATACATGTCCAAAAGCATTTGTAAAGTGTTCAAAGGAGAAACTGCCGCGATGATGTCACACACGACTCATTGTTGTGGAGGTTCTACCGTAATGATTTTTTGTATGTTTTTCTACGTAAATACTGTATGTGTACTATTTTTGTTGCAGAATGCTGTAGAATTGCAAAGAGCATAAGCAGTAAATATGTGAACATACAGTACATACATATGTATCACTAAATACAGTCACAATGAAAACATGACTAATTCACCTTACATTGTGTGCACCATGTGCACCATGTGCACTTGTATATTGTAAATAGTAACTGTAACTCTATTTTAAATTTAAATTTATTCTTTAGAAGTGTTTTTTATTCTTATTTTTATTATCTCTTTTTGACTGTTGCACTGAGCCAAAGCAATTTCCAAGTCTGTGACCTCCCGTTACTTACGTTGGCAATAAAAATGATTCTGATTCTGATTCTGATTCTAAATCATGTCATGTTTTGGGCGGCACGGTGGCTGAGTGGATAGCACTCTCGCCTCTCAGCAAGAAGGTCCTGGGTTCGAATCCCGGTCGGACCAGGGCCTTTCTGAGTGGAGTTTGCATGTTCTCCCCGTGTCTGCGTAGGTTTCCTCCGGGTGCTCCGGTTTCCCCTACCACTAAAAATATGTCCAATAGTTCTGGCATGCGCTTCCTGTACTGGCGACCCCGCTCCCATCTCTGTGTGGAGTGAGAGACAAATGCCCGAAAATTAACAATTGTTAAAATGTGAAGAATTATGTGAAAAATGCACCAAAGACACTGAGAAAAACTGATTACAAAATATATAATGTGCATTCTCAGGGTACACAGCACATGTGTATCTGTGGTCTCACAGACTACTGTAGTACTCTCTTGCAGCTCTCCCTCCCCCGCACGAATAAACAAAGCCCACCCCAGCCCCCTGCTGTCATAAGTCATTACCTACATTTGCAAATCAATACATGCAAATGTTAGCAGCCAACCTAGCAAGTTAGCTCCCTCTTCTTAAAACAGGGGCCAATTTCGGTTGGGTTTTCTAGTGTTAAAGCTGACCTGTGCTCTTGTCCCTGTGCTCTTGAGCCTGTGCTCGTGTCCCTGTGCTCGTGTCCCTGTGCTCGTGTCCCTGTGCTCTGGTCCCTGTGCTCGTGTCCCTGTGCTCGTGTCCCTGTGCTCATGTCCCTGTGCTCATGTCCCTGTGCTCTGATGTAGGTCTTGTCTGGTCTGGGCTCCGGTCCCGTGGCGGCTGTGGAGGCGCTGTCCTCTTCACTACAGGTACACTATACATGATTAAAGCCAGAGAGAGAGACCGGTGAGAGAGAGACCAGCAAAAGAGAGACCGGTGAGAGAGACCAGTGAGAGAGAGACCAGAGAGAGGCCAGAAACCCTTTCAGACAGTTTCATTGCTTTACGCATCTTTTTTCCCCCTGAAGACCAGACCCGGGGTTGTGTTTAGCTCCGTCCATGTCGCTGTGTGCAGGACGTGCAGCTGCTGATGTCCAGCGCGGTCCAGCCTCTGCTCCAGTCTGTGAGCGACTCCATCCACGCCATCCTGCTCACTCTGCACCAGGAGGACTTCTCTGGGTGAGAGAGACCAGAGAGAGAGACCATAGAGTGCGAGACCATAGAGTGCGAGACCATAGAGTGCGAGACCATAGAGTGCGAGACCATAGAGTGCGAGACCATAGAGTGCGAGACCATAGAGTGCGAGACCAGGTGTAGACCATGTACAGTATGTCAGCTGTCCTGTCCTGGTTGCAGGGGCCTGTCCAGTGCAGAGCGCCCTGACGTCCCCTGCTCCCTCTACATGAAGGAGCTGCAGAGTTTCATCTCTCGAGTCATGTCCGAGTACTTCCAGAGTTACCAGTGTCATGACTTCATCTACCATCGCACCGAGACCATCGCACAGAGGACCATCGAGCTCTTCATCCGCCACGCCAGCCTCCTGCGCCCCCTGGGGGAGGGAGGCAAGATGAGGCTGGCTGCAGACTTCGCCCAGGTATAACTACACATGCTTTAGAGAGAGAGACCAGAGAGAGAGACCAGAGAGAGAGACCAGAGAGAGAGACCAGAGAGAGAGACCAGAAAGAGAGACCAGAAAGAGAGACCAGAGAGAGAGACCAGAGAGAGAGACCAGAGAGAGAGACCAGAGAGGCAGCCATTAACCACTACGCCATCATGCTGCTCTGTAGTTTCTCTCTCCAGTCTCCCTCTAGTCTCGCTCTGGTCTCTCTCTGGTCTCATTCTGGTCTCATTCTGGTCTCCCTCTGGTCTCTGGTCTCCCCCTGGTCTCTGGTCTCGCTCTGGTCCCTGACTGTGTGTGTTTCAGATGGAGATGGCGGTGGCTCCTCTGTGCAGACGTGTGTCAGACCTGGGGCGGCCCTACAGGATGCTCCGCTCCTTCAGGTCTCACTCTGAGCTCACACTGTTGTGTGTTCTCAGTGTGTTGTGTGTTCCTCAGTGTGTTGTGTGTTCTCAGTGTGTTGTGTGTTCCTCAGTGTGTTGTGTGTTCCTCAGTGTGTTGTGTGTTCCTCAGTGTGTTGTGTGTTCTCAGTGTGTTGTGTGTTCCTCAGTGTGTTGTGCGTTCCTCAGTGTGTTGTGTGTTCTCAGTGTGTTGTGTGTTCCTCTGTGTGTTGTGCTTTCTTTAGTGTGTTGTGCGTTCCTCAGTGTGTTGTGTGTTGTGCTTTCTTTAGTGTGTTGTGCGTTCCTCAGTGTGTTGTGTGTTGTGTGTCCAGGCCGCTGCTGTTCCAGGCCTCAGAGCTCCTGGTGTATAACCCTGCAGTGGGTGATTTGGTCCCCTACAGCACCGTGCTGCACCTACTGTTCTCCAGGGGCCCCCCAGAACTGAAGGGCCCTCACCAGGTCTGTGTGTGTCCTGGTGTTTCTCTCTGGTCTCTCTCTTCGGTCTCTCTCTCTCTGGTCTGGTCTCTCTCTCTCTCTTTGTTCACTCTCTCTGGTCTCTCTCTCTTTGGTCTCTCACTCTCTCTCTGGTCTCTGATCTCTCTCCCTCTCTGATCTCTCTTTCTGACACCTGTCTGTTTGTGTCTGTGGCGACAGAGAGCAGAGTGGTCCATCACTCGTTACGTTCAGTGGCTCGATGGACATCCGGCGGAGAGAGACCGACTCGCACTGATCCGGTGAGTGTCCATTATAATGTAATTCTCTCTGTTCTCCCTCTGGTCTCTTGGACTCCTTCGTCTTTCTGGCAGCTATAATCTGGAACAGTCTTCCTGAAAATGTGAGAAAGGCTTCTTCTCTGACAATGTTCAAATCCAGGTGAAAAACTGGATGATTAAGCACTTAACAAATAAATGTATGTAAAGCTGGTGCCTGTGTATTTGTGCAGAGCCAGTCTCGAGGCCTATGTCCAGTCTGTGAGGGCGCGACAGGGGAAAGAGTTCACCCCCATCTACCCCATCATGCTCCAGCTGCTGCAGAGGGCCAGCTCCGAGCCTCACCGGGACCCCACTCGGAACCTGGTCTCATCTGCCTCCTCTCTCTTTGGTCCTGTGACTTCAGAAGACTTATTTTGAAGTCTGTTTTGACACGTTCCTCTCCCTCGTGGGAAAATGGGTCCAAACAACACAGCAACCTTTCCTACTCTTGTCCCGGGGCGACACAATCCATAGTTATATTCAAGTACCGAAGACCGGACTCTGCTCTCACTCCAACGATGCAGCTTTTCTTTTGCAGTTAATGAGAAGAAAAGGCAGAACTGGAGTTTTTCAATATGGCAGTTTAAAGTTTGTGAGCCCGGTTGCTATGGCAAACTTTAAAGTTGGGGTTTGGATCTTGTTTCTTCATGAATAACAGAATTACAACATGTAAAGTAAAATGTACTATTTAAATTCAGTGTCTGCGTCTTCTTTGGGCAGATTTACATTGCGTTACTCTGATTTGATGAGTGAGGGTGATCCTCTCTCTCGGCCAATCAGCTCGCAGGAGAATGTATTTTCTAGTGAAGAGAAAGTAGTCTAATTTCTCATTTAAAAAGGTAGACGACCAATGGACACGTCACACACAACTACACACAGGGAACCTTTTATTTACATGTTTGAACAGCAGCAATTGTATTAGGGTTATCCAGAAGGGGGTGGGGTTATCCAGAAGGGGGCGGGGTTATCCAGAAGGGGGGCGGGGCTTCAGATGGGCCACTTCCATTGGTTGGGCGGCGGCTCTTCCACGAGAGGCTCCCAGGTCTTCCACTCGCTCAGCTTTCGGGATAAACTCAGCTCGCACTCAGCCTGCAGCACAGAGTCACTTATGTTGAGAGAGACAGACAGACAGAGAACGTCCTTCGTTCTCCCACTAGATGTTTAATGTAGTTGAAGTGAGTCATTATAAAACATAATATTTTAGTATCAAACGCTTTGACTAACTTTATAGTTAAAATCTGACACATGTGACTTTTCTCCCCCTCACCTCTGACACCATCATAATCTCGTGATGTCTGGGAGAAAATTAAATGTATTTAAACTTGGTTCTTTTGAACCAAATCAAATGCAAAATAAATATTTAAGGGCGATATATTTGTTACTTTTATTTGGAAATTTTCTCACGGCCCCCACTTTGGGAACCACTGTTCTAGACTGTATTTAGACGGACAATGCTAACCCGCTGCTTCTCACCTGAAAGATGACCTCCTCTATCTGACCACAGCTGATCTTCTGCTCCAGTTTCTCTACATCCGGCTCCTGAAAACAGAACGACCAATCAGAGCCATCTCTACACATGATACAAATCATTGTTGTCGATATTAATAAACAGACTTTATACAAGTGGATTAGTTGACGATTGAGATTACGTCTCGAGCATCGAAATCTAAGAATCAGCAATCACTGCAGTGCTGCTCGAGTCTGTGCGCCCGGAACGGTCGTGGTTAACCCGGGTTTCTTCGGTAAACGAGCACATTAAAGTTTGCGTGCTCTTGTGAGTAGTTGGACCCTGGTGTTATTTGATCATGGGTCAAAGCTGTTTATCAGTGAATTATTCATTAATTAACTAAATTTGGAATTATGTGAGTTGTTAATTGATGCTAAATTATAGAATCATGGGTGATTTGTAGAGGTGCAACGGTTCATCACTGATCCGTGATCCGTTCGGTTCAACGTCTTCGGTTCGGTACAGACGTGATCCGCGGTTTGATTTATGAAAAAAAAGTTGTGCGCACGTTGTTCAGTCCACACACAGCGTGGTCATTGCGAGCGGAGGAACGGAGATGCTTGAAAGCCACGCGTCATTTAAATCCCCAGTATGAGAGCATTTTGGCTTCACTGTAACTACACTGATAATTAATATTCGACAAAACTGTCACGATGTGTAAGCACTGTGGCACAAGAAAGACATGAGTGAAAAAAGCGTCTCAACGACCGCTTTTTGTCGCGGCATTTAAGCAGCTCCTATACGCACAGTCAGACCGGGCTAAAGTCAACTCTCCCGCGCATCCTCAGCTGCGCTCACGACTGACGCTCGGACGTCCCGCGGAACCTATAATAGATCCATGAGCGGAACCGCTCACTTCATCACCGCAGACTGGGAGATGAAAAGTCTGGCGCTGCAGACACGCCCCCTCTACGACAGTCACACAGTCACACAGCGCAGGTACTGACACAAGCAGCGGAGGAATGGAAGACAAAGGCCCAGTACTAATATCCCAGTCACAACTGATAATGCCAAAAATTAAATAAATGCAGTGAATAAGGCTGGGCCCAGAATGGAGCGCCTCCTCGGGAGAATCAGGAAGGTGGTGTAATATATGAGAGTAAATATCCTCATAAAGTGCCTTCTTATGTTGCACTTTGTGTTGTTTTTCATTAATTATGTTAAATAGACATAATTGGATGGATGGAATATTCCATCCATCCATTTCCTTCCCCTTAATTCATTTCTAGGTCAGGGGGGGCAGTCAGAGCAGGTGCCGAGTCCACATGAGCTGTGTTTATTAAAAAGACAACACTTTTTTTTTGAAAAATGAACCGAACCGTGGCCTCTGAACCGAGGTACGAACCGAACCGTGATTTTTTCAAACCGTTGCACCCCTAGTGATTTGCTAATCGAATAAAATGAATTTGGAGCATCGTGACACCCCTACACACGTTTTTATTCTTTTTCTGGTTTTAAATCCAGTGGCGTTGTGTCGTACCGTCTTGACGTGGCGCAGACGGTCCGACACCAGCTGTTCCGTGTACTTCCTGTAGGCGGCGTCCTGTGGAAAGGTCTGCAGAGAGGCCAGGATCTTAGAGTAGAGGATCCTGAGCCGCTACACACACACACACGAGTTTAGAGATAATTTCTGTAATTCACATGAAACAAACTCTCCCCTTCCCTCCCCATCGTCCTCCCCTCATCATCTTCCTCCTCCAAATGTTCATCATCATCCAGATCAACTAGTCTCATTATTATCCTCATAAAAGGTGTGGTGTGCTGTTACGGAGCAGAAGACTTCCAGGCTATAGAATAATTCGGCTCAGAGTAAATCTACTTTCCTCAGACTTGACACTGCTGAAATGCAGCAACTACAACCTGTTGAAAGCTCACCTCGTGTGGGTTCTGGGACACGGCGAGGCCCACGAGGCCCGTGGTCTGAGGAGAACAAGCAGGACACACCAAGAATCAGTTCAGACGTTCTTACAGTCTTAGAACAAGTTTGAATCGCTCTAAAAACAACAGGAAACTACTAAAGCGGTAATAACATATGTTACAAACCCTTACACAGGTTGCCAGTTTCAGTGGTAATATCCAGTGTTAAAGTCAAAGTCTCTCTGATCTGGCAACTATCAAAGCCACAGTCAGACTATCATTGACTGGTTTTTGATCAATCTTGAGATGATAACGATCCCTCCACAGTCAGAGAAGTATGTTAACGACAAACCAACAATGTACTCGGCATCACATCCAATAGACTTTACTGAATACATGAAGTAGCTGCAGTGGACTGCAGTTCAAATCTAGAGGCTCAAATTCCAGTGTTTGCATGTTCTCCCCGTGTCTGCGTAGGTTTCCTGCAGGTGCTCCGGTTTCCTACTGAAAACATATGATGGGTATAATCCTCCAGCTCTGATCCTGAAGAGGACCCACATCTGGAGAAATTACAGATGCATTTGGGCCTAACTTTGGTCTTCTCTGCGGCTTTGAAGGACACTGTGTTTAGAGCCGCATATAACTCACATGCAGTGCCGGCGTGGCTAATCGGGAGAGCCGGAAGGTTTCCCGGTGGGCCGGTTGGGCTAAGGGCCGGTGGGCTGGATGTTGTATGTTGCTGGTTGGACTTGGCCGGCGGCCGTGTTTTCCTGACACCACTGCTCACAGCAGCTTTTCTCGGACCTGTCGCTCGCCCGTGCGCACTGCCTCACTCTCTCTCTCACCCACACACACACGCACACACTTCTGGCTAGTCTTCTGCAACGGCCTGATTGGTCGTCTGTAGATTGTAGGCGGGATTAACCGAGAGCGGGGGCCATAGATCAGGTTGAATGACAGATTGAACTGAAGCAAGCGCCGTTTCTCACAGACATGACATCTTTTTAAAATGGAAAGGAACAAAATCAAGGGCGGAGCAGAAAAGATTAGAATAAAAAAAGGAAAGCTCTTGAAGTTGAAGCAGCCAAATGTGCAAAGTTGGTAGTTTTTTTCTATAAAAAGTGCTCCGCCAATGAAGAGGCATCAGACCGCGGTAAGCTAGGAAAAAAACATGCAAAACACTGTGGCAAAACATGACGACGTGATTCCCTAAATGATTAGCACTCCGTCAATTACATTTATTGCTTCTTAGGTCCTCAGATACAACCATCGTTCATTCATATTAATGAAGAGCCTCAGGAATGGGCAGGTAAAAACCAAAAAGAATATTGTATTTTTAATCAAATTTGACTAAGCCACTAAGGCCATGAATTTATTTATTTCATGATGTATAATGTATATTGCATAAATTACATTTTTAACTTCTTTGTACATTAGGAAAGTAACAGTTGAATATTTTGTGTGTGTGTCAAAAGATGTGAAGCATGTATGCTCATATCTACAGAAAAGACATCCTTTGTCATTGGATAATAACAATTATCATTAACAAAGTAGCAGAAAAAAGTGCACTTCTACAGAGTTTACTCATGTTTTAATGTGCTTCATTTTGCTATTGTTAATTTGGGTTTGTTTGATTTAAATAGTGTACAGTTTGTGTTTTCTCGTCTTGATACAGGTTAACATTTAGTTTGCTTTTAGTTCTCCCCTGGGACAACATTAAAGTATGTTAAGATTAATTTTGGTTTTGTATAAAGTTGTAGCAAGCACTGTTTTGTCTTTGTGTAGTATTTGCATTAGTCTTTGTTTTTGTTTAGTCTTGAAAGGAGGATAATAGTTAATGGTTTCGAGTCAATTCAATGTATTATAAAAAAAATATAGCCAAATCTTTGGGAATAACAATTATTTGAATGAAAATGGACATTGTTCTAAAATTTGTAAAATTCATGCTTTTTATATCCACATAAGTCTAGAGTCAGTCTAAAATTTGCTACAATTCATATTGTGATACCAGAATATTCAAATATCATGATTTATTCAAATGCATTATTTTGTGACTAACACTGAGAAGTCTAAAGCAGTGAACAAAGAATAATTTGAATAGCACTAGTCTAGTAATTTACAAAACTTGATTTTAGGCCACCTGCTGGTTGTTATGGATATTACAACAGCAGGCAGTTCAGTTTTTTTTGATAGACTACTTTATCAGAAGGGCCGGTCTGACCCAGAATACCCGGGCCAAAAAAATTGTCCCATTCCGGCCCTGCACATATGTCATTGTAGTTTATGCATTCATCTAATTTAAATTACAGGAGAATTGGTCAAACACGCGTTAATATTTGCAGTTGACAGCCACAAGTCAACGATGCCATCTGGGTCCAGATCTCTGCTGTCGCCCATAGGTTCTGTTCAGTCCAGTTTATACATTTATGTCACGTGTTGTTGACCGGTGCAGACTGTCGGTCATGGCTTTAACAGAATAAAGAGTTTAAAAGTGACTAACACAGTGTAAATGTGCAGAAGTGACCTCTGTTACCTTCTTTAGTATGCCCGCCATCTTGTCTTCACTGCTGCGGCTGCGCGGTACCTCCCCCTGTGGTCAGCGGTTGGAACTGCAAGCACGAGGCTAGTGACGTATAGATGGTTTAATTATGTCCTTTTTATGTTATTTTCTTATTTTAATTAATTGTACATTGAAAAATAATAAGAACCAAATACGAACCAGGAAGTACAATGAATGACTAGGTCAGGTTAACTCATTTCAGTTGTAGGGCACATGCCGATGTTAGAAAGGATTGTTGCAAATAAAATGACAAAGTTTCAGCAGATGAATTGATAATGATTAGATTCACATGAATTTTAGGGAAATTAAGTGAAACTAAAAACAAACCAATATGTGACAGGCAGCACGCGCATGCGCAGCAGTCATCCAACCCCGGAAGTGGCAGTGACAGCTTCATTCAGATCCTCTTTCCTCTCTGCTCGTTCTCCACCCACTCTTAACCCTCTTCTGGGCCTCTGCCCCGTGTCCCTGCGCTGAGACCCGGACCTCAGTGTCTCCTATCCCCGCTGGACTTCTCTGTCATGGCGGACGAAGCGGCCAACGCAGTGAAAAACGTCTCTGTAGGTACGAGAAAGTTCCCGGTGAGCTAGTGGCTAACAGCTAACATGTGTACTAGCAATGTTGCATCAGTGAGAGCCATGCATCAGTGAGAGCCATGCATCAGTGCATAACTAATGTGTAATAACTGATGGTAATGTTCCAGTCCTGTTGATTCTAGCAGGTTTCAGGTAATGTTAGTTAATCCAGTATTGTTCCTTGTTTTGGCTTCAGGTCTGGTTTGGAACGGCTCGGGGGTTAACGTGTCGGTCTAATCCAAACAAAGCTATTAAACTAACCCAGATATTAATGTTTTCCTGTGAATGTAAATATTGATTATTCTTTTTAACAAATGGTGGTTGTTTATTTGGCATATTGACAGTGAAAACTAGTGATCAGATTTATCCTGTTCACATGAGAAGATTGACAGGTCTGAAACTAGACTAAACCCAGACTCGTGTGCGCCCCCTGTTGGTGGGTGTCACGTTGACTTCATTGGATTGGGGACTAATCAATGATTTGGTTTTAACAACTGGAGGGACATGACAAGGCTCCTAACTGGGACAAACCCGGGTGAACAGGGAGAACATGCAAACTCCAATCAGAAAGGCCCTGTCTGGAGATCCAGCCCAAGTGCGAACAGAGAAAACTACTGCCAAGACCTGCTTTATCATTTATTGTACTATTATTTATTATTATTTATTTTGTGCCAGCTGCTGGTGAAAACCAGATCTCGTCAGACTTCTGAAGCTAAACAGGGCAGGTCAGGGTTAGTACTGTGATGGGAGACCTCACAGTGGGGCGGCTGTAAAGTGACTTGTTCACCAAAACACTTCCTCTACATTGTTCAAAATGAGTCTGGTGTGTGTGTGAATGGTTGGTGGTGGTGGGAGGGGCCGATGGCACAGACTGGTTGCCTCGCTTCTGTCAGTGTGCCCCAGGGCAGCTGTGGCTACTATAGTCGTTTGTCATCACTGTGTATGAAGTGAATGAATAAAGCTGTGAAGCATCTTTAAAGGAATAGGCCACCGTTTTTACATACTGACATATGTTCTTACCTTACCTTAGACTAGTTGATATGTACCTGTCTGGTCTTTGTCCGTGCGCTCTGTCTTGCAAACGGAGCACAAACGCAGCCTCTACTAACACCCAAAGACTTCTCTCCCGCTCACGCTGCTTCTATTGACGGAATTATCTATTACGCCTCACAATATAGTACCTCTTTTTATCCCCTGAGAAAATCGACATGTTACATTTCTGTGTTACTATACTTTGTAGTGTAACACGTCACGTAAGGGAACACTTGGGAGAGTTTGGTAGCTTCTAACGGGAGCTGATTTGGAACTATACAGAATGTGGAAGAGGCGGCGTTTGTGCTCCGTTTGCAAGACAGAGCGCACGGACAAAGACCAGACAGGTACATATCAACTAGTCTAAGGTAAGAACATATGTCAGTATGTAAAAACGGTGACCTATTCCTTTAAGCACAAAATTATTATTATTGAGTTGTTTCATCATCACTAATGAAGACATGAGTTCTTAATATTCCAGGTCTTTGTCTGTGGTAATGTGCACTGGTTTCAGTGTGTGTTTCTGCTCATCAGACTGACACACACATTGCTGCTGTTTTTAAACTTGTTTTGCGAGTCTGTCACCGAGACACAACTTTCAGGAAGTTTCATCATTTAGAAACTGAAAATGAAGCTGAGGCACAATTTTGGGAACATTTTCTTTAAAGTCAGGTGGGAACAATGTCAATTGTCCCAATACTTGATTTACTTCCCACACACTTCTCTGCACACACACACTCTGCGCACACACACTCTGCGCACACACACACACACACTCTCCACGCACACACACACTCTCCACACACACACACTCTCCACACACACTCTCCACACACACACTCCGCTCACACACTCTCCACACACACACTATAGTAAGTAAGTAATCATTATTTATATACTGCCTTTTCACTGCACATCGGAGTCTCAAAGCGGTTTACAATTGTGATTTTTGGGAGTGGGGGTGCCAGTACAGGAGGCACATGCCAGACCTATTGTACATATTTTTAGTGGTAGGGGAAACCGGAGTGCCCGGAGGAAACCTACGCAGACACGGGAAGAACATGCAAACTCCACTCAGAAAGGCCCTGGTCCAACCAGGATTTGAACCCAGGACCTTCTTGCTGAGAGGCGAGAGTGCTATCCACTCAGCCACCGTGCACACACACTCTGCACACACACTCTGCACTAGGGATGTACCGATCCAGAATTTTTGTAATCCGATCTGATTCCGATATTCTTAAATATTGTTTTGCCGATACCGATCCGATACCATTTGTTCTAATATTTTCAAAGCATTAAAGAATTTGCAATTTTACCTGAATAAATAAGTTTGTTGTGCCGGCTAACACACGTTAGCAGCCTTGTTTACAGTCACAGGGAATGAGGCTCAAGGAATATGTTCACAAGCAGTCTCCCCCATAGTTAGTCCTAGTGAAATCCTGGTTTAGTCCTGGTTTATCTCCTGTTTTGTGTCCCCATGGCGCCTCTGTGCGGCCGCTCTCTGATAGCCGCACGGAGGAAAAAGTTCATCACTTGCTTTCGCTGCATGCACCAGGTCTCTGTGTCCACTACCTCTGCCACACCGCACATGCTATTCCTCGCACGGACGTGCGTAACCATTGACACGGCATTGAAAAACAATCTTTAGATCTATGGACGCTACGCATTGTGCCGTTGTTGTTTATGCATTTCCCAGAAAGTTTTCCGGTTGACGCTTGGCTGTGATAGGTCGAGAAGCCTATGCCTACATCCCCCAGAATGCCGCGCGCCTCTGACTCGGCTTTACTTTCTGTGTTTTCGTCCTGTTTTTTCTAACGGAGTGATGTTAAACTAACATTCTATCGACCCCTTTTTCTATTGATATCGAACACGTGTCTATCACAATATATCTCGTTGTCGTTTTATCGCCCAGCCCTAGTTTTACATTGTATTTAGTTTACGGCAGCCGTAAAGCGTGAGCATGCTGAAAAGTGACTTAAATCGGCTTCATATTTACCAAATCCGATATTATCCGATCCTTACAAAATACCCATATCGGCCCCCGATACCGATACTGAATATCGGATCGGTACATCCCTACTCTGCACACACACTCTCCACACACACTCTGCACACACGCTCTCCACACACACTCTGCACACACGCTCTCCACACACACTCTGCAGTGCACACACACTCTGCACATACACACTCTCCACACACACTCTCCACACACACTCTCCACACACACTCTGCAAACACACTCTGCACACACACTCTGCACACACACTCTCCACTCTCCACAAACACTCTGCACACACACATACACGTTTTTGTTACCTGGTGGGTCCCTTTGACAGGGCCGTTCAGAATGGGACCCATAGACATAATCTTTTTTACTGGGACTACTTTAAGTAATACAAAACAGTCAATAGAAAACAAACAACTCTTTTAAAGGAATTTTATTTTTGATTTTATTTTTCGAATTGCAGTGATTCTATTTTTGACATAGAATTTAATGCCACTCCATGTCCGATGTCTAAGGTCATCTGGTGAGGCATTAATGCAGGCCAGGCAGTGAGACTTCCCAGGGACTTTTCCAGTCTGTATGAAAGGCGTCATGGTCTTCTCCACAGCCTTCACCTCAGATACAGACCATGGCTTTCTTACACGTTCTAGGGAGAGAAATAAAAATATATTAGCAATATACACTCCCAGGGTTAGGACCAAGCAGCCTGGCTGTAATCCCCCACCTGGTACACTTACCAGAAGGGGCACTGCCACTACCATGGGGTGCATCTGGATGAATGGTTGAAGGTTCTCCGCTTGAAGTTTCTTTTAGCCCGTCCGTTTGTGAGAGGATCTCTACTGCTCTCCCTGTAGCACAGAAAATAAAAATACAAGTGGCCTTTAGGGGAAAAAAATTATACATATTTTAATAATATCAAGAATTACCTTCAGGCTCAATTTGTATCTGGTCGAGGCTCTTTCCTTTGAATTCCGTCACTCTTCCCTGCTCCATGGCCATTAACACTTTGCTGATTTTGGCCAGCTCCAGTGTCCCCTCTGGTAGTCTGTAATATTGTCTGTGGATGCGAATGTCATGGCCGAGGAAGTTGGCTAGTATGTCCATTTCATTCTCTTTCATATTGAAAACTGTAGACATAGTAGCTATGTGCTTTCTAAGTTTGGTTGAGTATAGCATCTCTGGATGCACCGCACCACATTCTTTGGCTACCTGCCGTAGGGAGTCTGATCCCCTGATGTGGGTGTCTGCGCCCGGGCGGGAGAAGAAGTATGGGTTATGGTCAGAGATGGAACAGGCCCTTCTGTTCTCCACCAGCACCTCCATCCAAGCAATCATTTCAGGAGTCAAAAGAACCGGCACTTTCCAACTTCTTTTCCCTTTAATTTCAATGCGTTGAAAATGCTGACACAGCTTTTTCTCAAGTTCGGACGGTCCCAGAGCAATTTGAGAATGGATCCCAGTCTTACTTCTTAAGGTAAACGCTGTCAGTGGCATCTTTGAAACCTCACCTTCCCTTCTTTGATTGAAAATAATGACCTCACAAAGAGTCAAAACTGCCAGTTTAGACCAATGCTTAGAGGTTGGCTCACTTATTAGGGTTTGCACATATTCAGGTCGACATACCTCAATATGTGCATGCATGGCTCTAACGTCCTCAGTCAGAGGGAGCAGGTCCGGAGTGTTCCACTTGGCTTGCCGGAGGGTCTGTAGGGCAGCAGAAGAAACACAGACGTCCCACCTCTTCTCAAAAAGCAGCCGGCTTCGTTGGAGGTTTTTAATAAATAGTTCATCAACACAATGCTCCATTTTTGAGTCACATTCAAGAATATCTACTAGCTTTCTGAGGCTATGGCGGAGTTTAAGGGCCAAGGATGGAGTCTTGTATTGATTTGTTTCCTCATCATATCTAGCCACAGACCTGACTGCATCAATCACATGGTTAAAGTTGGAAGGAATAAAGAAATCCTTAATTGTTTTCAGTTTCCCTGCCGTTTTTGCTTCGTTAATTAACCTACCGACTTCTCTCATTTTCTGCCTAATGTAATCATGATTAGTCTTATCATGCCCGTGTTTTAAGTACAGGTGCTCTCCGAGTCTCAGAATCCCCTTTTCTGCTTTGAAAACACCCGTAACCTCATCCTGATGCATTGCCAAAATTAAAGACCACAGCTTTTTGCTGATGCCCTCCGGTACAGGCTGGGCTAGGGAGCAGAGGGACTGGACCCTACTTCTACCTGGTTTAGCCTGGGCATCTTTCTGTGAAAGCCGGCACCTGGCCACATGCCTCCACAGCAACTTTCGCTTAAGCAATGCCCCACAGTCTATACAGTGCAAAAACTCACTGGATTTAACTGGGGAATTTGGCTGTTTAGCTGGGACTAAAGTTCCAATGCCGGCCTTTAAAACCTCAAAATTGTGCTCACGGTTTCCACTAATCCTGATCAAATCAAACTGAAGTTTTTGTGCTTTAGATTTCACAGGTAGAGCCAATGCTCTGGCTACGTCACTTTCATTTCCATGTTTTCTAGTCAAATGACGGGACATTTTGTGGCAGGACATTGAACAGTAGAGGCAGAAGTGCCTCTTGCTGTAAACTCTCCCCCCATTTGTCTTCTTTTGCAGCTGCATGATAACAATCTTATTTGCCTTTGGTTCGTCACTTTCCGAGTCTTGAAGAAAAGTATTTTGGATTTTTCTTTTTCCATACTTTTTTACAGGTTTCTTCTTGACAGTTAAATCGTCAGAATCTGAGTCGACTTCATCAATTAGGGACTCTTGACTAAGCTGCACAAACAACAAATAATTTGTAATAATTCTATATAACAATTTGAAGTCATGACTTGTAGTCAGCACTTACCAGTGGTTTGTAAGCGTGCGCTTCAATGTGCTCCTCCATGATTTCTTGCAGCCTAATGAACCACACACTTGCACCTTTTCTAGCCTGACACCTGATTTCCTCTTTTGTGCTGCTCCATGATTGGCTCCAGCCTGCTGGACTGAAATTGCCCCAGTGTGCCCCTCCTTGATATCCCGCAATCCACCACCAGGGTTCCGACACATAACACCCTTTTTTCAGGAAAGTAAACCTCCAGGGGTCCTTTCCATATTTTTACAGAGACTGCATAAGGACCGTTAGAAAAGCATTACCCATTGATTATTAAGCTTGGACCAGTGGGGTTTGGTGTTCGGGCCCCACCACGTAAAACCAGTCTCCATGACGTGAGTGGAATCTCAGGTTATGGAACCCACCAGGAGTTGAAAACAAGTGCACACTTTCCACACACACTCGTCTGCACACACACTCTGCACACACACTCTGCACACACACTCTGCACACACACTCTGCACACACACTCTGCACACATACTCTGCACACACACTCTGCACACACACAAGCGGAGGCTTTGGTTCCAAACCCTCAACACAGAACACACACAGGCCAAAACGCTCTCTGACCCGACACCTACACCCCACGTCTTTACAACACTGTTATGATCTGATTCTACTTCTCTTTCCCAGGTTATGAACCCATGATTCTTCTCTTTCCCAGGTTATGAACCCATGATTCTTCTCTTTCCCAGGTGAGCTGTATGTGTCGGACAGATGTGGCAGTGATCAGGACGGAGAGGGGACGGAGCAGAAGCCGTTTAAAACCCCTCTGAAGGTACACTCCAGAGCCCATCACCTCCAGACGTACATTTTGAATAGAGATGCACCGATCCAGCTTTTTTACTACCGATACCGGAACTAGGGGTATCTGCCGATACCGATATTGACCGATACCGGAAATGATCATGCTAAAATGTATTTAATAATTGAACTCTTTGTTCAAGTAACTGCAAAAGCAGTGGATGAACTAAAGCGCTAAACTTTCCAGATAAAAATGGATTCAACATAAATGTGCAATAATGCAACTATAAAGAGCTGCTCAATGTTCACATTAAACATTCCAACACTGTATTATACCGTATACATTTATTGAATATAAATGTACTTATATTAACTGTGTTTGAATAAAAAAACACTTACAACAAACAAAACACGCTGCATGAAAATGTAAATAAATAATAGTACCGTAGCTTTAACTGGATTTCAGATATGTATTTGGCGACGGCATGTACCTGGGTTCCAAATGGTCTATGGGGCTGCGAGCCCAAACTGATGAACTCCAACAATTTCGGGTTGTTGCTGAAAAGCTTTTTGTGACGCTGCGTCAGTATCATCTGTGTCTTGTTGTTTTTACGTAATCTCCTTTCGATGCAAAAACTCCCCATGCTGTTTCTCGTGGTGCTTAGTCGTGTTGTATTTTGCTAGTTTACGCCGCGTGAACAACGCTGATTCTTTCCTGCACTCCATGCTGTGTTGTTGTTGTTGTTGTAGAGCGCCACGAGGAAGTGACGTGTACGTGAGATCTGATAAATTACTTTTAATTCATTCATTTTATACGTATATGTACATTATGCACAATGTATTTTAAGACATTGTGCGGTACCTGGTATGTATTAAAAAAATATATAATTTAAAAAAAAAAAAGAAAAGAAAATGGATTGGCTGCACGGCGCCTCTCTCTACGCAGATATCCGATCCAGTTTTTTCTGGTATCGGCGCCGATATTGATACCAGTATCGGATCGGTGCATCCCTAATTTTGAACTTGGCATAGTCCGCTATAGTAACATTGGTTTAAAACTGGGGTTCCTAATTTTCTTTCCTCATAAATATTACAACATTTGTTTGCCCCAACAGTAAAAAACAAAAGGAAAAGACCACCACATGCTGTCTGCATCTTGTTATCTTTTACATACGTATAAGAAAGTCCTGTGAGTCACTATTTGAATCTTTGGGCTGAGAGCTGATTGGCCGAGTGAGAGGGGTCCTCTCATGTTTCACTTCTCTCTCTGATAAAGATGATCTTTTGACATGACAAAGGCCAGAAATGCATGGAGAGCTAAAACTAGTGATGGAAGTGAACCGTTTCACAGCCAGGAACAAGTTTCTGCAGATACCCTGGGTGGGCAGAGTGGGCAGTGGGCAGAGTGGGCAGAGTGGGCAGAGTGGGCAGAGTGGGCAGAGTGGGCAGAGTGGGCAGAGTGGGCAGAGTGGGCAGAGTGGGCAACTGAAACCTGTGTCATCTACACCTGCGGACTGCCCTGCCCGACCCGCCTGAGAGCACTTTTGTCCTACACCGGACCTGTCCACGCTCAGCGGCTGCTGGTCCACGTTCTGTAGCTTAGGTCCTGGATCATTAGCCTCTGTCCTCGTTCTACAGTCCTCGTTCTGGATCTATAGCCCGTCCGTCCGTGGGAGCGGATCCCTTTCTCAAATGTGGGTCTCCCCTCTGGATTTTCTTCTGAGTTTTTCCTCTGATGCAGGAGGGTCTGTTGGGCAGTTAGTGTCCAACTAGAAGGACTGTGATGATGATCCAGGACACTAACATTCTACAACATGTATGACATTCATCAACCTGTATGACATTCATCAACCTGTATGACATTCATCAACCTGTATGACATTCATCAACCTGTATGACATTCATCAACATGTATGACATTCATCAACATGTGTGACATTCATCAACATGTGTGACATTCATCAACATGTGTGACATTCATCAACATGTGTGACATTTATCACATGTGTGACATTTATCAACATGTGTGACATTTATCAACATGTGTGACATTTATCAACATGTGTGACATTTATCAACATGTGTGACATTTATCAACATGTGTGACATTTATCAACATGTATGACATTTATCAACATGTATGACATTTATCACCATGTATGACATTTATCACATGTATGACATTTATCAACATGATGCTGTTGTGATTTAGGGAAATTGTTGTTGTTGTCGTTGTCCTCAGGCTCTGCTGTCTGTTGGGAAGGAGCCCTTTCCCACAGTCTATGTGGATTCCCAGAAGGACGGAGAGGTCAGTACCTTTAGGACTTTCAAAAGGCTCTCTGGTCTCTCTGGTCTCACTCTGGATCTCTCTCTCTCTCTCTCTCTCTCTCTCTCACTCTGGTCTCTCTGCTCACACTCTCACTCTGGTCTCTCACACTCTCACTCTGGTCTCTCTCCCTCTCACTCTGGTCTCTCTCTCACTCTGATCTCTCTCTCTCACTCTGGTCTCTCTCGCTCACTTTCTCGCTCTCTCACTCTTGTCTCTCTCTCTCACTCTGGTCTCTCTGCTCTCACTCTGGTCTCTCTGCTCTCACTCTGGTCTCTCTCCTCTCACTTTGGTCTCTCTCCCTCTCACTCTGGTCTCTCTGCTCCCACTCTGGTCTCTCTTCTCTCACTCTGGTCTCTCTTCTCTCACTCTGGTCTCTCTCTCTCACTCTGGTCTCTCTCTCGCACTCTGGTCTCTCACTCTGGTCTCTCTCTCCCTCTGGTCTCTCTCTCCCTCTGATCTCTCTCTGGTCTCTCTGCTCCCACTCTGGTCTCTCTTCTCTCACTCTGGTCTCTCTCTCTCACTCTGGTCTCTCACTCTGGTCTCTCTCTCTCACTCTGGTCTCTCTCTCACTCTGATCTCTCTCTCTCACTCTGGTTTCTCTGCTCTCACTCTCGTCTCTCTCCCTCTCACTCTCGTCTCTCTTCTCTCACTCTGGTCTCTCTTCTCTCACTCTGGTCTCTCTTTCACTTTGGTCTCTCTCTCTCACTTTGGTCTCTCTCTCTCTCTCTCTGGTCTCTCTGCTCTCACTCTGTTCTGTCTCTCTCTCACTCTGGTCTCTCTGGTTTTACTCAGGTCTCTCTCTCTCTCTGGTTTCTCTGCTCTCACTCTCGTCTCTCTCCCTCACTCTGGTCTCTCACTTTCTCGCTCTCACTCTGGTCTCTCTGCTCTCACTCTGGTCTCTCTCTCTCTCTCTCTCTCTGGTCTCTCTCTCTCTCACTCTGGTCTCTCTCGCTCTGGTCTCTCTCCTCTCACTTTGGTCTCTCTCACTCTGGTCTCTCTGCTCCCACTCTGGTCTCTCTCTCTCTCTCTCTCTCCTCTCACTCTGGTCTCTCTGCTCTCACTCTGGTCTCTCTCCTCTCACTCTGGTCTCTCTGCTCTCACTCTGGTCACTCTCACTCTGGTCTCTCTCCCTCTCACTCTGGTCTCTCTCCTCTCACTCTGGTCTCTCTCTCGCTCTCTGGTTTCTCTGCTCTCACTCTTGTCTCTCTCCCTCTCACTCTGGTCTCTCTCTCTCACTCTGGTCTCTCTCTCTCACTTTCTCGCTCTCTCACTCTTGTCTTTCTCTCTCTCTCTCTCTCTCTGGTCTCTCTGCTCTCACTCTGGTCTCTCTCTCTCACTCTGGTCTCTCTCTCTCACTCTGGTCTCTCACTCTGGTCTCTCTCTCCCTCTGGTCTCTCTCTCCCTCTGATCTCTCTCTGGTCTCTCTGCTCCCACTCTGGTCTCTCTTCTCTCACTCTGGTCTCTCTCTCTCACTCTGGTCTCTCACTCTGGTCTCTCTCTCACTCTGATCTCTCTCTCTCACTCTGGTTTCTCTGCTCTCACTCTCGTCTCTCTCCCTCTCACTCTCGTCTCTCTTCTCTCACTCTGGTCTCTCTTCTCTCACTCTGGTCTCTCTTCTCTCACTCTGGTCTCTCTTTCACTTTGGTCTCTCTCTCTCACTTTGGTCTCTCTCTCTCTCTCTCTGGTCTCTCTGCTCTCACTCTGTTCTGTCTCTCTCTCACTCTGGTCTCTCTGGTTTTACTCAGGTCTCTCTCTCTCTCTCTGGTTTCTCTGCTCTCACTCTCGTCTCTCTCCCTCTCACTCTGGTCTCTCTCTCTCACTTTCTCGCTCTCACTCTGGTCTCTCTGCTCTCACTCTGGTTTCTCTCTCTCTCTCTCTCTCTCTCTCTGGTCTCTCTCTCTCTCACTCTGGTCTCTGTCTCTCTCGCTCTGGTCTCTCTCCTCTCACTTTGGTCTCTCTCACTCTGGTCTCTCTGCTCCCACTCTGGTCTCTCTCTCTCTCTCTCTCTCTCTCCTCTCACTCGGGTCTCTCTGCTCTCACTCTGGTCTCTCTCCTCTCACTCTGGTCTCTCTGCTCTCACTCTGGTCTCTCTCCTCTCACTCTGGTCTCTCTGCTCTCACTCTGGTCACTCTCACTCTGGTCTCTCTCCCTCTCACTCTGGTCTCTCTCTCTCACTCTGGTCTCTCTCTCTCACTTTCTCGCTCTCTCACTCTTGTCTTTCTCTCTCTCTCTGGTCTCTCTGCTCTCACTCTGGTCTCTCTCTCTCTCACTCTGGTCTCTCTCTCTCTCACTCTGGTCTCTGTCTCTCTCGCTCTGGTCTCTCTCTTCTCACTTTGGTCTCTCTCCCTCTCACTCTGGTCTCTCTTCTCTCACTCTGGTCTCTCTTCTCTCACTCTGGTCTCTCTTCTCTCACTCTGGTCTCTCTCTCACTCTGGTCTCTCTCTCTCTCACTCTGGTCTCTCTCTCTCTCACTCTGGTCTCTCACTCTGGTCTCTCTCACTCTCTCTCACTCTCTATCTCTCACTCTCTCTCTCACTCTGGTTTCTCTGCTCTCACTCTCGTCTCTCTCCCTCTCACTCTGGTCTCTCTTCTCTCACTCTGGTCTCTCTTCTCTCACTCTGGTCTCTCTCTCTCACTCTGGTTTCTCTGCTCTCACACTCGTCTCCCTCCCCTCTCACTCTGGTCTCTCTCGCTCACTCTGGTCTCTCTCTCTCACTTTCTCGCTATCTCACTCTTGTCTTTCTCTCTCTCTCTCTCTCACTCTGGTCTCTCTGCTCTCACTCTGGTCTCTCTCTCTCTCTCTCTCTCTCTCTCTCTCTCACTCTGGTCTCTGTCTCTCTCGCTCTGGTTTCTCTCCTCTCACTTTGGTCTCTCTCACTCTGGTCTCTCTGCTCCCACTCTGGTCTCTCTCTCTCACTCTGGTCTCTCACTCTGGTCTCTCTGCTCTCACTCTGTTCTGTCTCTCTCTCACTCTGGTCTCTCTGCTCTTACTCAGGTCTCTCTCTCTCTCTCTCTGGTTTCTCTGCTCTCACTCTCGTCTCTCTCCCTCTCACTCTGGTCTCTCTCTCTCTCTCTCTCACTCTGGTCTCTGTCTCTCTCGCTCTGGTCTCTCCTCTCACTTTGGTCTCTCTCACTCTGGTCTCTCTCCTCTCACTCTGGTCTCTCTCTCTCTCTCTCCTCTCACTCTGGTCTCTCTGGTCTCTCTCCTCTCACTCTGGTCTCTCTGCTCTCACTCTGGTCTCTCTCACTCTCACTCTGGTCTCTCTCACTCTCACTCTGGTCTCTCTCACTCTCACTCTGGTCTCTCTCTTCTCACTCTGGTCTCTCTCTCTCACTTTCTCGCTCTCTCACTCTTGTCTTTCTCTCTCTCTCTCTCTGGTCTCTCTGCTCTCACTCTGGTCTCTCTCTCTCTCACTCTGGTCTCTCTCTCTCTCACTCTGGTCTCTGTCTCTCTCGCTCTGGTCTCTCTCTTCTCACTTTGGTCTCTCTCCCTCTCACTCTGGTCTCTCTTCTCTCACTCTGGTCTCTCTTCTCTCACTCTGGTCTCTCTTCTCTCACTCTGGTCTCTCTCTCACTCTGGTCTCTCTCTCTCTCACTCTGGTCTCTCTCTCTCACTCTGGTCTCTCACTCTGGTCTATCTCTCACTCTGATCTCTCTCACTCTGGTTTCTCTGCTCTCACTCTCGTCTCTCTCCCTCTCACTCTGGTCTCTCTTCTCTCACTCTGGTCTCTCTTCTCTCACTCTGGTCTCTCTTCTCTCACTCTGGTCTCTCTCTCTCACTCTGGTTTCTCTGCTCTCACACTCGTCTCTCTCCCTCTCACTCTGGTCTCTCTCGCTCACTCTGGTCTCTCTCTCTCACTTTCTCGCTATCTCACTCTTGTCTTTCTCTCTCTCTCTCTCTCACTCTGGTCTCTCTGCTCTCACTCTGGTCTCTCTCTCTCTCTCTATCTCTCTCACTCTGGTCTCTGTCTCTCTCGCTCTGGTCTCTCTCCTCTCACTTTGGTCTCTCTCACTCTGGTCTCTCTGCTCCCACTCTGGTCTCTCTCTCTCACTCTGGTCTCTCACTCTGGTCTCTCTGCTCTCACTCTGTTCTGTCTCTCTCTCACTCTGGTCTCTCTGCTCTTACTCAGGTCTCTCTCTCTCTCTCTCTGGTTTCTCTGCTCTCACTCTCGTCTCTCTCCCTCTCACTCTGGTCTCTCTCTCTCACTTTCTCGCTCTCTCACTCTGGTCTCTCTGCTCTCACTCTGGTCTCTCTCTCTCTCTCTCTCACTCTGGTCTCTGTCTCTCTCGCTCTGGTCTCTCCTCTCACTTTGGTCTCTCTCACTCTGGTCTCTCTCCTCTCACTCTGGTCTCTCTCTCTCTCTCTCTCTCCTCTCACTCTGGTCTCTCTGGTCTCTCTCTCTCACTCTGGTCTCACTCTCACTCTGGTCTCTCTCACCTCACTTGTCTCTCACTCTCACTCTGGTCTCTCTCACTCTCACTCTGGTCTCTCTCACTCTCACTCTGGTCTCTCTCACTCTGGTCTCTCTGCTCCCACTCTGGTCTCTCTCTCTCTCTCTCTCTCTCTCACTCTGGTCTCTCTGCTCTCACTCTGGTCTCTCTCCTCTCACTCTGGTCTCTCTGCTCTCACTCTGGTCTCTCTCTTCTCACTCTGGTCTCTCTCTCGCTCTCTGGTTTCTCTGCTCTCACTCTTGTCTCTCCCTCTCACTCTGGTCTCTCTCTCTCACTCTGGTCTCTCTCTCTCACTTTCTCGCTCTCTCACTCTTGTCTCTCTCTCTCTCTGGTCTCTCTGCTCTCACTCTGGTCTCTCTCTCTCTCACTCTGGTCTCTGTCTCTCTCGCTCTGGTCTCTCTCTTCTCACTTTGGTCTCTCTCCCTCTCACTCTGGTCTCTCTTCTCTCACTCTGGTCTCTCTTCTCTCACTCTGGTCTCTCTCTCTCACTCTGGTCTCTCACTCTGGTCTCTCTGCTCTCACTGGTC